CGAGTGTGGGCTGGGGTAACTTTGGTGACAATGACAGTGTGGATGCCAGTTACAAAATTAGCACTGAAGCTGGGTGAAAATAAACAGATTTAGTAGTCTAGTGTTCGTTTAAAATAAAAATATCCAAAACTCGACTTGTACCGGTACTGTAGGTACCGTACCCGTTATTCCCGTACATAACTTAAACAAACAACAACCGTACCAATTCAGTGATTTACATAGGCTATTTATCCCGTGGAAAATTGACTCGTTATCCATGAACAAAGCAGCAGAATACCAAGGTCGAGTTAATTTCAGTTCGATTCTATTCTGGACATAGCCTTGTACCGGAGAAAGCAAAAATAAATTACCGGCACACCAGCACCATAGGTCGCGCAGTCGGCTATAGCCTACCGTACATTACACTACTCCAATCACGCACACTGCATTAATTCAAGGCGACTGAACCAAACCCGCAATCTTACGTCACGTCGCTGTCTGGAATCATGTCCCTTCCGTGTCTTGAATAAAAAGAACCAAATGAAAACGCCTCGAATCGTCAATTTTCAACTGAATTTGGCAAAATTCCACTTCAGGCTATCAGGCGACTGCAGCAGTTGTAAAAATGACTACGCGTCGCAAATGCAAAAAATATTGTTATATCGTTTTGGTTTCTACGAGACTTATCCGTCTTCTAACTTTTGTGCCGAAGGATTCGTATGCTTATAATGCAAAAATGCTGTAGCAATAGTGAAGGCGGTTTGATGAATGTTTGTCTGAGGAAGTCTGACTCTGGTACAGAAATATATTTGTGTTGGTGTGCAATAAGACTCCTGAATAACCTCAAAATATAGTTTGTGAAGATCGGGTAACAAATTCGGTTTAAACATGTGGCTTTTCACCACAAAATAACTATGCGCGGGCTAACCTTCAGTAAGTTCTGTTTTTACCATTTAAGTATATATCGCTCTTTTTGCGCGATAGTCCTTGTGCTCAATATCGCTACGCTGTTCACGCAGCATGTGTTTGCGGGTGTAAATTCCATGGATGAATTGCTAACTATTCCTACACCCAGCTTGGCATGTTACATAGATGATAAGCCGTGGCTAAGGATATCTTGCTTACATAAACATGTTTATTCACCTAAAATGTCATTTAAGCTTTAATCGAAGTCAGAGGGAACATTGCTGGGCACATAATATAAGGTATATAAATCCAATTCATTAAGGTATGTATTTACATAAAGATAAAACGCTATGTACCTGCTGGATCGTGCAATCAGAGCGCTTCCATTTTCATTGTGGAGTAAATTTGAACCGAGATCTATGATTAAGTTTACTGTCGTTGGTAACATCAAACTGCGAAACTCTAAAAGTTATACCACACAAAAACAATGGATAACGATAATTTATTGAATATCGATTTATTTATGTGTATTCACGGCTAAAATTAGGTTAAATTAACAATGTAACTCGGTTATCGCGCGAATATATAACAAATATTGTAAAAGATAAGACGTTAAACGCTTTATTTAGTTTAATAGTTTTATGAATGCTTTACTACTTCAAGAAATAGGTCGTATGAATTTACAGATTTGAGATTTTTTTTATTTAATCCGTTTCATAATTAATCTCCGCGGGTACACAACATGAAATTAACTACAATTATTACGAATCTGAATTTTTAATACTGCGATCTTCTTATACGACACGTTAGCTGGTCTTTTGTACATATATATATATACTGTATGTACATCCTATCAACGTCTATATACTTTATTTACATAACATAGTTTATTTATAACATTCATTTTTTTCTTTGTTGGTAGTTATTGGGATATAATATTGAAATATCTGCGGAACTGTCTTTTTATATTCATACCAAACAACGGCGATTTACGATCAAGTGGTTGTTTCGTTACTAAGCTTTTAGAGATTACTATTTATTTACGATTGGACAACCCGGAGAAAGTCTCATATTTTGTTTGTATCATGCCAATTGTTCATCAACGTAAGACGTGGAATACATTATTGGACATTATGAGGATTATTTTTATGCCATAAGGTGGTGCCATAGATGGTATTACGCGTTGATTTCACGCGACGGTTCGTAATGGGCAATCTAGCATGATCTTTGTAGCCATAGCAACTGATATGCGTCACGCTGATGCGACGCGAAGCATTGGTGGAAGCTCGGCGTTGTTTTATCACATAGCAATGGGCGTAAGAGACGATATCATAGCGTAATCGTGACTTATTGCTCGTCAATAGTACCGTTCGTTATGTCTGACACCGAGCTAATCGTTACTGTCTTACAGTCTTAGGGTATAAAGTATAATAGCTATGATTTCGCTTACCTTCTATAACTTCTGAACTTGCAACACCGATACCTTACTCTTAGAACTATTATTTACATGTGTACTTATAGGCTTTGGTTAGTATAGCATAGTATGTCATGCTTGCACTGCACCGGAAATGAGAAAGTAACTTCCGTTATTGTATGATGATCATAGATCCATGTCAAAAATGAACCTTGGTTACCCAGTTTCATACGTTTCGATGAATGGACATGGTTGACAAGGTGTTATCCTACAACTAGTTATTAAAGCCACTCAGCAATAATGATAGAACGTGACCGTTGTGGTGTGGCAGAAGTCAGGGTGTATCATAAGACTTAGAGTTTTCATTGTTAATAATAAATGCATGTTTTATTGACAGTTGACTGTTGTATTCTTATTTGCTAATGAAATCCAACAGTTGGGTTTCATTTTTTAAAACATATAGTCTACATAATTTTTCATATTTCATATTTCAGTGAATACGCTGCTTTGGTTTTATTGTTCCCCCAAAACCAACTATCGGTGATTAATATTTTGCCGATATTGAGAGTTTACTTTTTTCTTAACTCTCAATTTCTTGTATGTTTTTGATTATTGGCCCTGTCTTTTATATTCAATTGTTTGTCTCATTTGAAGAACAGTTCATTGGGAATACTCAGTAGGCCTAGTGCTTTTGTTGAATTGTAACAAAAATGATTCGGCTGTGTGGATATTGCGATTCTAATTAGTAATCAAAACCAGAGAATCAAATTGTTTTTGTTTATTAGGATTGAAAACAATAAACAATTAATAGCTTCCAAAGCCATAAATATAAATTTAATCTACCTATACCGATTTTGCTATTAGTTATTTCAGGTATACAGAAACAATCAGACTTACAACTTTCTTCTAATTTTACACTTTGAACTTGCATACTCCGAAATAGTTTTTTCAGAAAGTGGCTGTGATTAGCATTATATTGAATCCTATCCATTTTTTTTCTATTAAGTAAAGCGCAATTCTTTGTAACCTTCGAATTAATAGATAATTTTGAAACTCAAATTAGTATTCTATTCACAATATAGTAAGTGAAGTTTGAGTTCAAATATTCATCCCTCTACATCCCTGATTGTAAAATTTTTACTATATTTTGGCTAATTACCACAAATACATTAGGTCCACTTCCTATCAATAGCACTGCTATAGGTATTTGAACTATTTGAAAATTCAATATTGCTCGAAGTTGTTTTTATATTTGATATATTCATTTACCTTTTGAGATTTTTGTTGTTTGATGAAAATGTTTTAAATGGGTACACCCGTTCCACAGTACACCCTCTGTAGACACTAGAACTTAGATCTCTACAGACCCCGATTTGGTTTCAGAGTTCTATTTTTTATCCTTTGTTAATTAATGATATTAGTTATTTAGATATTTGATTACAAACCCCCTTCTTGTACTTTGAAAAATCCCTTCCAGTAGTCATTGAAATTGACCTTCATATTCACATTGTGTTTCAATTGTTTTTCATAAACCAAAGTTAATCCTATCTTCGTAAATCCAATATTTTAATTTTTTATTTTTTTCACTTATATTCCTTTTCATTTACCATAATAATTATCCAAATACGCTCATTGGGTATAACTACCACAATTTGTTCACCATATTAGTAATTCTCCAGACCCCTAGTAATTAATATGCATGGATCAATGATCATATGAGCGTGATAACTAACTTCAATCAATAGCCCCTTGTAATTGTGCTTTTTACAATTATTTAAGTGTATATTACTCTATAATTAGCTGTTACACTCATAGTCATCCATTACCTGTGAATCTTATGCATAACAGTGAATTTGTGGGGGAGCTGACTTGGATGACCGTATGGTCGTATCGCTCCCTCCAGTCTTTACCATAAACAGTGTTTATTTATTTGTATTTATGCTTTCATATTTATATTTGTTTTGGTTGACGAATCAATAAATCTCTCTCTCTCTCTCTATAACTGTATAATAAAATTGAAGACTAATATTGTAAATAGACCAAAAATTTTCATGTTCCAATTTATAGTTAATGAATTCTTCCATATCGAAGGAAATTCACTTTATTCTATTGCATATTGAAGACAAAAAGCCTTCATTGCTTTAATTCCTTTCACCAGATGACACATCCATTTTTCTATCCTTTATTTTATATTTCCACTATAGTACAGTATTTGTCAAATCAATAAATTGGGTGTATCTTTATTATATATTCTTCCAAATTATTGGAAATTGCTGTATAACGGGATATGACCTATATTATGTTGTGCTTGAGGTTATCGGAAAATCTGTAAATAATTGATCATGATTTATGACCCTTCTGTAGCATCAGTGTAAGGTGATGTTTAAGTATAAATTATTTTGCAAAACTCAGATAAATTCCCGAATTGAATCAAAGCACTAGTTAAATGTTATCATTTGATTAAATAACAATTATCAAGAATATCAGATGATATCTGAGATTCATTTATTGAAATAATATATTTGTGGATGATGAATTTCGATGGAGAATATAATATGTTTCTACCAACAAACCAAATATACCCAGTTATTATCATTATCATATTATAGTATCAACAGCTTATTTCTTATAACGTTTGATTAATCAACGTGATTTTGAATACATATTTCGATAATTTTTAATTCATTTTAACTATTCCTTGTTCATAATATACTTATTACAGTATTTAGGAACTTGTATAGGTATATATAAGTTTGATGGAGAATTACAGAGTTCTACAAAGACTGGGGAAAGGAGCTCAAGGTTCAGTATACCTTGTGGAAAGCAAAATGGATAAAGGCTCATATGTGCTCAAAAAGGTAGAATGCAATGATGAAGGGGAAGCGAATAAAGCTTTCAAAGAAGCCATGGCACTACAGGAGCTGAAACATCCATTTATTTGTGGATACAAAGAATTCTTTGTGACATGGGATAAAGAAGAATCTGCTATGTTCGTCTGCATAGTGATGAATTTTTATGAAATGGGAGATTTGGCAAAAGTCATCAAAACAAAACGACAGAAGCAAGAACCGATTGAAGAAATGATTATCAAAAAATGGACAGGACAGATGATTGAAGGTTTGGTCTTTGTTCACAATAAACAAGTCATTCATCGAGATCTGAAGCCGAGCAACATATTCATGACCAAGCAATTAAATATTACTATCGGAGATTTTGGAGTGGCAACCGTGATGGGTGACGCACGAACTCGCACAAGAACAACTGTTGGATCAATGAATTGGATGGCTCCTGAGGTTATGGATAGGCCATATGATGAGAGGAGTGACGTTTGGTCTCTCGGATGCATTATTTTAGAAATGGCCACTTGTTCTACCATGGACACAGTGCAGATTTCAAGTTCTTTGTTTGAGATAAAACAAAACCCACAATGTCTGGAAGATGCTCTTGTCGATGTTGGGAAAGCAGGATATTCTGCTAATCTTTGTCAACTTATTCGTACTATGCTGAGAAGGAATTTTCAACAAAGACCTACCATGACTGAATTGGTGGTATATCCTTATGTTCAAGAATGTTTGTCGCTGAATCCTGAAACAACACTTGTGAAAAAGAAGACTTCTTCCTCAGCTGTAACCGATCCTCTTCCAAAAAATCAGGGAATACCGGCTGTCATAGCATATATGTCAAAAAATTCAGATAACGAAGAAGCCCAAAAGCAATCATTGGAATATCTTGATGAATTATCACAGTTGCCTGGCAACTCTTTTACTGATAACGTAAAGAAACAAGTTGTTAAAGCTATGTCAGACCATATAGCTGAGATAAATATCCAGATACACGGGTGCAATATTCTTTCCAATATTCTTGGATCTGTTGGCGATGGAGATATTTTGTATTCAAAACAAATAATGCAGCCAATACTTTTAGCTATGCGATCGCATCCATCCAGTTCAGATCTCCAAACTGTGGCATGTTCGGTCATTATGGCTCTTTCAGCAGACGAATGTGCTGCTGATGTCATTGGGGAGATTGGTGGCATTCAAGATATTCTAGCTGCTATGCGACAGTTTCCTGATAATGCAACTATTTGTGCAAATTGTTGTGGTGCACTCTGGAGCTTGGCAGTCAATGAAACCAATACTAGCATCGTGACCAAAGAGCAAGGCCTTGGCGATGTATGTAAAGCTATGGAGCAGCACAGCAAAGTTCCTGAAGTTGTTGAAACAGCTTGTTCTGCAATCTGGTCACTATCTCTCGAAGATGATAATATTGAAATGCTGTCTGATATTGCTATTTCATTAATTGTGGAAGCACTTCAAACACACATGAAAGATGCCAGAGTAATTAAAAATGCATTTATGGCTCTTGCAAGTATAATCACATGTGATGAAGTATGTGCATTTAGAGTGATTGTTCCGGGTTCAGATATGCTTGGCTTACGAACCATGCTAGATGCATTCAAGAAACACGAAGATAATGCCGACATTGCTGAGAATTTCTGTACAGTGATCGCTGAATTATCAGAATATGATGATGTCGCAAAAGAAATTAAATCTCCGGCTTTCAAACTGCCAGAAGTTTTTGCCAAGATACGAGACAATTACAAGTCAAATGATGAGATAGTTTCAGCCATCTCTACAATACAAAAAAAGCTTGGATTCAAGGCAAATCAGCCTAGTAAGCCAGCTCAAAAGTCAAAGCAGAAAAAATAAGACAACTGTTCCATAAGGCCATTTGGTGATTTTTCTAATTGAAGAAAGTCATGTATTCTGTGCTCTTTAAATGCCCAGAATAGAAGCAATGAGAAGCTGTATCTGGAAATATTTGTTGGACTTGTACTGTGCATGTGCAGAACTAGAATTCATATAAATTTTCTCTATAATTTGCCCTCCTTGTTGAGTTACTTTTAATGGAAAACTATTTTTGTTACCAATTAATTTTGGTTGATTCTTACTTCTATTTGAGCCTTTGTTTCATGACGAATGGTACCTAACTTGAGTGGTACTTATATGGTCGTTACTGTATTGTATAGTCTTGCTATCATAGAATTATCATGTGTTTATTGATAGTAATGACTTATCAAAATCACTGTTGATTTTGATAATCAAATATTACACTTCTTTACGTTTACTTTGCCCAATGCCAGACGATGATAGGGTAATGTGTATTGATATATTGGTTTGCGCAACGCAAGGCCAACATCCTTACCGTTGTCTGTAAGTGGTAGAACCATTCTGGTGTAATCAGCATCTGCTAGATTTGAGATTATTATATATTATTGATTTTATCCGTCTATATTCAAAACATTTATGTTACATCTCAAAATTGAATGAATGCTGAAAAGTTTGATCATTTTGAAATATGAAGATTGTATTTGACCGAAAGAAATGCTTACAGTTAGCTACCAATAACACATAATTAAACATTAATTTTAAATCTCATTTAATCATATTCTGTGCGTGATCTAATGAGATACAGAGATGTGCTATGCAGTTTATATTTTGCGTAGTGTTTTTTATATTTGCCGTAAGAAGCTGTCTTCATTTATGCCTCACTATGTTAGTCTCCACTGTTTGTTATTACACATTAGTATTCTTGCACTTGATATTTCATATATACCGTTAATTTTACCAAGGTTTACTCATTGGTCATATAATTTTGTGCACTGATATGTACTATGCGCAATAAAATATATTGAATTATTTGTTTTGTAATCGGATTATTTAGTTTTATTTCAGGCAAAATTTGATACAAAACAATAAATCAAGGGCAGCTGTATGTTTAGATATGTAGTAGACCTTGGAACCGCGTTTCGTGGTTTTCCATATAATTCAGTCGTCTCTGCCAAATTGTGTAAAAAGTACGGCGCTCCAGAGGTATGTGTACCAATATGGAAGTAACTAATTTTGTTCGCCTACTCTACACGGGGCTACCAACCGTCCCGGAATTGACGTATGGCGTCCCGGACCCGGGCTGGGCTACCGTTGTCCCGGAATTTACTGACAACCAAGTCGTTCCAAAATGGAAGGCCATGTAATCGTGTCGGCTTTGTTCAAAACTGGAAACGGATGTAATAAACGCAAATATTTTTTTTGAAATTTAAATAGAAGTGAGTTGAAACTTGTGGATAAGACATGTTTCGTCAACGGTGACTTAGATTTATTAGTTTTTTTTTAACTAAAACTGATATTTAGCCTGGTACTTATTAATATCTTCCATATGAAAAAGGAATTGAAGTGTAAGTATTTAGGTCTCCCTAAATATCACATAGAGAAACTGCTTCGGAGAAAAGCTATACCGAGAGAAAATGGTACTAGTGAGCCTTTTTTATCCTTATAATATATATGTGATAACCTATATTTTACTGTAAAGAATTTTTTAATTATAAAATAAAACTGAAAAGAGTTTAAAAGCTAATTTTTTAAATTAGTACAATAAGTTAGACCGTGAATAAATATTAATGCGTTAGAGTCTAACGTATTAGTATTGTCTAACGGTTACCAAAGCTTTAAAAACTTAATCCAGTGAGATTTGGAAATTTGTTGAAAAATTTAGTCATTATGATTGCGGTGTGTAACAATATTTTGTGTTTCTTGTTTTTATTAGTTTATAATGCACTGCTAGCGTGATATACTTGAGATACTCTATTTGGCACAAAGTGTACATTTTCCCTGTTTTATTTTTTTTTTGCGTTTATGCCTCAAAGAGCCAACATTTCACAAGTTTCTCTAATTATGATAAAATTATTTACAGGCTTGGTGTTTGTGAGAATAACGCTGCACAATCATGATGTCTTTTGTGTCTCATAAGCTTTTGTTGCATCAATTTTCAAATTATAGACATTGAGGTGTCCCGGAATGACTTAACACAAAGTTGGCAACCCTAACTTTACATCAAGCTGTGTAAAGAAACTGAAACCTATGGGCAGGGGGTATATTCACTTGGCTAAAACAGACATTTCCCGAACTCGTAATAGAACTAAAATAGGAAAATCGGAGTTAAATTGAGGTCTAACTTGGTACACATACTACCGGTACGGGAGTACCAAAGGTACAATGGCAAATACCACATTAATGCTTATATTCATTGCAGGAGTTATCGGTACTCATTTTAAAAACAAATAAACTTCATAGGCTGCATCTACTTCACCTTGACGCCATGTGTTCCTGCGCATAATAGGACACCGGTATAATTTCGTTAGATAAGATTCTACATAACGTTATAACTTTTGTGTTTTAGCAATTTGGCTTTCACTTGACTTGTACAGGAGGAATCATCTTCAACTTTTATCTGATGGCGAAGTGCGCATTATTTACCCAATAAGTTATCTATGTGTACGTGTACGGTATCTCCTACCTCCGCCTTTTGAGGATTGTATTGATAGTTAGTTATATTTCATCATTATTATAGTATAGATTAGAACTTCTGTATAAGATTTGTACCGTATCCTGTGTCGACGCCGTCTCGCGAAAATTTTACGAACTGTTGACTCATACAATCTTACTGTTTATTTCTCGCCCAATGTTTAGAAAATAAAGCCTTCTTTCACCTGTTTAGTTCATTTTATAATATATATATATATATATATATATTCAAACTATTTCACATATATATAAAAAGTACAACTATTTCACGTAAGGATGATGATGTAAGCAAGCACGGCTGGTATTATGATTAGCGGCAGTGCAAATATACAGAACTTGACGATTGTCTCGTTTGTTGAGCTTGGGTTATAATCCAAAGAAATAACTTGGATAATATTTCGAAATATGGCTGCCATTACTTCGGAAACATCTTCGCTTTCGCTGTCATCATTCTGATTCTGCTTTGATTGATTTTGATCTGTAAAAATAATTACTGCATTTATGTTGTCGTCAAGAGTGATTGCTGATCTGTGTAGCCGCCCACTACTGGGTCTGGACATCATGTTCAACTAGTTAAAAAAATTATTTCGATGGGTATATGACAACCCAATAGTCCAGCAAGTTAAGAAGAAAATGGTAAAAATACACGAAACCTCTCCTTCATTACATATTATGATGGAATTTTACAATCAGTTGAGATGTTTTATCGAGTGAGTAATGTTTACTCTGGTGTTGCCGACTAGTAAAAATGTCAACAATGGGACATTAACATCGTTTTATGTTTGCTAACATAGAAATATTTAGCATTTTTATTCTGGTAATAGACAAGTTACTATATAAAATAGATTATTGAAGTCTGTGAGTGAAACTATTGTGGAATAATATCCAAGATTCAAATTTATGATAATAAGTATTTCTTTGTATTTGTCATCATTACCTAGTCAGGATTCAGTATAATGTTTGAATTATGAAAAATTTCATACCCAGGAATGAGTAAGTTCTTTATAACATGCATTATTATGAAGACAATTGCAGTTGTATAATAATCGAATTACCGTAAAAATTTGCAATACTATGCTAACATAACACAAGTGAGCAGCGGGACTCTTGAATTGCATAGTATAATCATGTTTATTCTTGCTACCGTATCCTTCAATATACGGCATTGAGGTAGGGAGTGATAGGGAAATAGTTTTGCGTAAACTCAACTGAATATTTGCAATGTTCTTAACTTCATATTTGGGTAGCAATACATGAATTACATTAGGGTATAAACTAGATCCAATTAATCCAAACAACAACAATGATCAGTCGATAATATTTATTTTGCCCTCTTCTCTTGTATGTCTATAAAGCTAGTAGTGTTAGGGCTATATTAAAATCAAATTTGGCACTCATCTAATAAGAAAGTCAAGTTTTGTTGCAATTCATAGAATTCTACAACAGAATATTCTGAACATTTCCATTGTTAATTAATATATATACATTTTCACTTGGGTAATGCCTTACCTTGATCTTGCTGATTTCCTTCTTCCTTGATGATTGGTTGATCATCTTTATTAAAAGTCATACCAAATTTTCTTCGCTTTTGCCTCCATACTGTCCTGCGATTGACAACCGAAGCGACTGTTTGAAAGGACATTCGTTGTGGAACGTTCTCATCTTTTTCTGCCTCTACTGCCTCGGCTTCTGTTATTAACGATTGAGATCGATTTTTCATTCTTCGCCTTCTGAGGCTGACAGTGTCGTTCGAATATATAGGAAGACCACTGTGCAGTATATCTGAAACTTTATCACGTTCTTCGTCGTAATCATATACCGATTTCATAAACGGCGTTGGTGAATCTGTAAGTTCTGCTACGTCGGTATCGGTTTCAGTAGTCGGTGTCGAACTACCGCTTTCATTAATGTCGGCTTTTGATCCATGTAATTCTGTGTAGAGATCATCTTTGGAAGTTTTACCACTGCGTAATCCTTCAAACATGTCTGTTGGATTTGTCGCTTCAGTAAATTCCTCATTTTGAAAACCTGGTATATTTGTAATTGGTTTATCGTCTTTGGCAATAGGATAATCTCCAACTTCCATTGCATACTTCTCGGAAATGTTGTCGGCACCTTGACATTTCACTTGGCTCTGACACTCGTGGCTTTCTTGGGCAATATCTGCGTGTTTTGGATTGATATTGGGATCATATTTTTTGTGAAAATCTACAATTTCATTAACAATGTTTTGAGGGGTTTCTTCGCAGTCATCTTTCGGGATGACGTCTTCCTGTTGCCCTTTCTCTGGCAATACAGGACCACGAATTGGATCAAAAACTTCAGGGATAATCCTTTCATCGTTACAATTTTTCACCATTTGTGCTTCAGGTTCCTCAACCTTATCTATATCAGGCCCGTTTTCAGATTGCACATCGATTTTCACACCTTCTAGCTTGGTATTGTTGCGATAGGGCACGGAAATAGCCTTTCCAATTGTCTCCGTTACTATTGAACAGCCATCTCGAGAATCTGCAGACAAATTAAGTCAATTAACAAACAAATACATACATAACCCTGCAGTATTGGGTAAAACAAAGTCTTTGACAATTCGAATGGAATTGCATACAATACATGCTACTTACAACCCCAAAGTCACAAGGGGATTTTCCACGAGTTTGACCAAAACACCACAGCATTCTGGGGTTTTTGTGACACGCCTGCGCTCCCCCCCCCAATTTTAAACTTCTAGGGTTATTATACTCTATTGATCGGACACAAAATGACTCGGTCAGTCATTTCATGTAGTTTATGTAATACAATGACAATTTCAATTACACGTTGAAAATGAAGTCTTGTAGTCATTCATAAGCTTTTCGGCACAGTGGCAACGCATAAGTGTAACGCACGTCACAGGTTACATGTTTTGGTCCTGGGTGATGGTAAATAGCAGATAGTTTGATTATAGTGTCATAATAATATCACACGGATATGAATGTGAGCAATATATTTTCCTTCAATTTTATATGAAAATTGATAAATTTGCACCTGGATAAACATTATCTGCTCTGAAATCGCCCTCCTTAATTCTTTCTAATTCCATATCGGATTGTTTGAAATTACTCGTCGCCAAGTTTTCATCTAAATATAAGAGAAATTTGCGTTTTTTCAAACAATATCACATTTTACAAATTCTAATATTTGTGTATAATAAATTTATGTGTATTTTCTAATATATATGCTTCCTGGCAACGAAATACCGTACTAAAATTTATATTTATACCAGGTATCATTTCAGCTACTTTTTCTTCTTCTTTTACATGCGATTTTTTGGTCACATGTTCAAACGAAATGTCCAACTTTTCTACTTCTTTTTTAGGTTGTAATTGAAGTGTTTCTTGGATTTGATTCTCGTCAGAGGAGAGGCTGGGTATACTTTGGTCAAACTGGTCTGGCTCAATGTCTTCTACTGATTCTTCGTGGAAATCTAATTTTGACTTTATTGCACCTGTGGAGTAGGCTTGTGTGGAATCTCTATTCCAATCAGAACGATGTTTTTGAGCAACCCCTTCTCCATGCCAAGTTTGTGGAGTGCTTGAACAAGATAGCGCCAAGGATGACGAGCTCCCGAACAAACTGTTGTCTGCGTGGTTGCGCCCACAAAGTGTTAATAAACTGGCAGAACGAAATCTGTGTAAATAGAATATAAAAATGATTTGAAAAAAGAGAAGTCGTTATGAATATTCGTATCTTTGAAAAAAAAGTATCTGTCAATTCGAAATAACAAGCCTTACCCTTTATGAAACGAACGGTAATATTCATTACTGTTATCACCATCAAATGAGCTTTCATCTGAATTCATAATTTCCAAAGAAACTAAATAACATTCCCAACAAATTCTCTGGGGTGATTGATACCTGAGAAAATAATATTAAACTTGCTTCAAAAAATATCTGTTGGTGTGGCGCAACGTGCTAAGCGTTGGGAATACGCTCTTTACCGCAACCCTGAATACTCTGCGTGGGTTTGCGGGTTCGAATTATGTGAGGGATAACTACATGCTAGAGGATTGCTGGACTCCTTGCCGCCGTGGGGTGGTTCAAGTTAATTCATCTAAAACAAATCACTGGCCAACTAATTTCATACCCGACATGAACTGGAAACCAAACGAGGGGCTGTGGTTTGCCAGCCACATGCTTCAACCGTCTTATCGGATGCCCTCTCCTTCAGCATAAATATGTAATTGTTATCTTAACCTAATATCCATCTCATTTGATCCATATCGTTATTTATTAGCACTTGAGTGAAACATTCTATTGTTTAGTGCCAGTCCAAATATATTAGTGTTGCAGGGCAGATTCCCAATTTCATGACATTCATAAATAAGTAGGGGCTACCTTCTTGAATTATTTATTTGTTTGTTAACTTTTGACACAGCATTGATGTGGCTTTACTGCCTGTTTAAGCCACTTGTAGTACCTTGAGTTTTTTAGATCATTTGTCTTCCAATATATATATACTGCCTAAATTACTTTCGTTTAAATATTATAGCCGCAATACAATGTTTTACTCACCCTTTATTATGTGAATCAGTTCCAAAGTAAGAATTCCAGCTACGTGGAACCGATTTTGTTAATTTTCTCCGTTTTCGAGATGTCACATGGAATGGAGCACAGCATTCCTGAAAATTTGCTCCACCGAATAGAAGACCATTTCTTAATTGTTTATAATGTGTGGAACAAAGTTTCTGATCTTTATTCAAGTTGATTCTTCTCCTCAAGCGATGTTCTGAAACTTGTTCCAAGAGTCTTTCATCATCGGGACAACAACAATTAGGCTCTAATTCATTATCATGATCACATTCACAAAGAGCACATAAGTATCTGCGCACGTGTGGTTCATCCCTTTCCATGTCAAAATCTATGTGACTCAACAACGCTAAATATTAACATTTATTCCAGTATTTCATTGTACATCTGCATATATATATATATATAATAAGATGCTGAATTGAGATACGCAAGATTTGCTGCATAGTTTAATTATTACAAGTTGGATTAGTCATTCTTGAACGCAAAGTTCACAGCCAATAAAAAGCTTCATAATCATAACTGCAAATATGTTAAATACCCATAGAGAGTGATTTCATAATAAACAATTCGATAACGAGATTTTAATAGCGAGCGATAACAGTGTTTGGAACGCTCTTCATACTCACCTTACTACATATGCACTGAATATACTGCTATACAGTTACCCTTCACAATTGAATTCTCGTTCAGCAAAAAATGCGAAAATGTAAATTGCGACGAGGCATATCGCTTTTGTTAAAGATTAATCTTCAATGAGTTGTGTAAATATTTGCACCGCCTCGACGCAGTAGCCTGTAGTGCGATCACGATAAAACGGTTGGGCGTTTGCTGAAACAGTACCACCTGTGACGTGGCTGTAATTGTTCTCTAACGTCCCTGTCTAGAAATTATTTAGTCTTTGTTTCCGTTATTGTGTTTGAAACATTTACAAACAAGAAGTTATCTAAACACGACCCTTTAGGTTAGTCTCGCTCTATCGATTCCCCCTTTTGTAGATTAAAATGTATATTGATCTATGCTATCTACCATATCCGAATAAATAGCGCTCAGTCGCAGTACACTAAACTGAAAAAATAATTGCTGTTCCAAGAATCATGCTGCTTCAAGCGCATCAACAGCTGATTATTATCTACACCAGTATTTCTGCGGAATATAATTTGCTATTAAAAAACTCATTGTCTGTGTAGACCCAAATTCATCCAAAATTTCGTCTACCAAAAATCGAGAGAAAAACATCTCCACCTTCCTAATCATCCACTTCCCACTTGCGTCATAAGCTTGATTTAAAATTAATACTTGAGTAATTTTTATTAAGAAATAAACATGCACAAAGGTAGTTGATGACAATGAGGTGAAATTTAACTATGTACATTTCTGAACTAAAGGGATAATCGATCAAAGGCAGCCCGAACCCGATTCTGCTTATTTCTCATGAAAGTAATATTTGTCCAACTTTAAAAATAGCGCTATAAAAACTGCATGCGAGTTGGACCAAAACAAGTCTAATCTTGAAGATATATTCCTTCGTTGTGATGATTAATCTTAGTTAGGGCGAGGAGAGTCAAAAATAGATAACACTCTGTAATCTTGCTTCTTTTTCCGCATGGCTTGTGCTCCGTTTTTATGGATATACCAACAGTCGGTTTTTTCTTGAGTACCAGGCAGATCCATCGTACGCTTAGCGACGGATATAAATTTACCCCTGTAAAAAAATAAAAAATTATTTTTAGATAAAATAGTCAGAAAATAGTGTACGTAATTTAATCGGACCTCCTGAAGTATGCGCACCAAGATGGCGCACAACCTGAAATCAGGTTGTGTAGCAGGTTAGGGTTCAGGTTGTGCGACATCTTGGTATGCATACTTCAGGAGTACCATCTGACCCGCCTGATGCTGCCAAAACTAAACTAAAGTCAAAGTTTGCTGTTTCAGCTAAAAAATGACTCAAGGAATTTAATGAGATAGCGATTAAATTTAATTTTGGCACGAGGCTTATTGTTTTCCGCATTCGTTTTTGTAACAATGTAATTATTGTTCATAAAATGTATCTTGTACGTCACACTTACAAGGTCCAGGTGGGCAACATTTTGGCCCCTGGTCCGAATAGGTTGCCCAACCCTGTTCTAGTAGGGCGTTGCTAGAAGTTCAGTTTAGTGTGAAATACGCATAATGAAAGAAGACGATGCTTTTGTTTAATTGATCGAATGACTGATATTTTGGGTTCGATTGAGATTCAATTGGGGCTACGAGTTCTTTCCTAATTCTTTAGACGAGAAAAATAGAACAATATATTTGATAAAAGAAAAGTAATCAGTTACCTGATGTACATCTGCTGATGTTCCACCTTCTCTTCACTTGTATTTGAGTGGCCTCCGACCAATCCTAATTTGATTGCGTGGTTAGAGTAAGATGATAAACGAGAAAATTGTCCCAAAACACCGTCCGAATGGCGGCTAATTGAACTTAGGTTGTCCGAGAGTCCAAAATCCAAATGATCTCTTTGATACATTGAATGTCTTTGTCGATGAAGTGTAACCTGATGGCAGAAAACAATGAAAGTCGAAATTGAATGTTACTACCGACTATAACAATAGATTGGAATTATGGTACAGGCTACGTTGCTGTAAAAATGCAAGCTCCATCTGAAGATGCATGTTTATTAGAACACATACCCAAAGAGCTGGGAATTTTCGAATACCTGATGATTCCAGAATCGAATCGAATATTTTTCTCGAATCGAATCTCGAATACTTGTATGTAATTGCAATGACTTTTTTCATTGTAACTGGTCATGTCAACAAATGAATTATTGGAAACATAGAATACATCACTTGAACAGATTACTGAGTGTGCACACACAATGGAAAACACTTATTTAATTCAATAATTCACTAAAGAAAAAAGTCATATGTCAGAAAGAAAAAAAACAAGATGGCGGCAATTCGAAATTTTGCTCTGAATTCGAATAGTGAAGGATTCGAATCGATTCGAAGCGTCCAGCCCTAATACCCACATAAATTATCGATTCCAGATTAAAAATAATACATGTCAATGTAGTACTTTTCAACTTTTCCAATATTAAAAGTATTCTATTCAAAGTTATATATATATTAAGATTCTTAGTGATTGGTAATTAAATCTTCTTAAACCAACAATGTTTCGTTATAGTGCCCATACAGTTTATATATGATGGGAATTAGTGTCTGAGTGATTACTCTGTCTTCTATTTAAAACTTTGGTAATAAAATGCGACCATTATCATATTTCGAATATTTAGTATGATGACTGAATAGCGAAGGCAATGTCATATGAACTAATGATCAGGGAGTTTCCAGAACGTATTAAGTTGAACACGCAATTAAGTAACAGAAATGACATTCCATAGGGAAACTCTGGCGCTAAATTAATCTCCAGGGGTCACCAGAGTAGACTTTGACCTCAGCAACAATACCCGAGATACTCCACATGGGAAATACTTATCGAGGCATGAGTGTCGATTGATTTATCGCCATTTTGGAAAGTTCAATCCACAAATCAGAGTGTAATATCAAAAGGCAGGGCAACCTTTATTACAAGAGGGCCAGATTTAGGTAATTGGGTGAAGTCGCGGTTAAGATATATATTATCCTTTCTAGTAGTTTCAGGCACAAAAAATGGTCTTACGGTATGTTAAGGGCCTTTGCATTGGAATTGCTCGCACGTACCATAATAACTAAACTAAAACTCGTTTTGCGGGCACATCATTCAAAATGGGCACTTCTTTGCGGGCCGCACAATATTCTTTTGCAAGCCACATTGGGCCCGCGGGCCGCAGTTTGCACACCCCTGTCATAAGGCACAGCACCTTATTCGACACTTTGTACAATAAGAATAAAAAAATAGCATTGTTTCGCTCAGATATTTTCACCCATATGGTTGCGTTTGTAAGTGTTGTTATGTTCGTAGTTATCTTTAATATTTCAAGAAATTGAATAACTCTGCTGTTATAGTTTTTATTTTAGATGCATTAATTAAAACAGTAAAAATATTGAAATAAAATTATGTGAGACAAATAAGTGTTTGTGAGGACTTTTTGTTGAACAAATCTGAAGAGTTTATTTAAAAATATGGCGATTTTGAAGAACATAACTTATTTTCAAGAGTCGAATCGCAAAATACAGCAAACCGAAACACAAATCCCTAATACATTACAGCATGAGTTTTACTGGTGCCAAAGCTTTACTTACACTTAATGACCACTTATATAAAAATTCATTAGTAATCAAATAATATTAATAATATATTATTAGTGAAGAATCAGAGTTTTATCGGCCACTAATGCTTACTAACCCGGAATGACATTCCTTGATAACGAAGTTCAATAATTGAAGACATATGTGATACTCCGGTGATTTCTAAACTGAAATCATCTCCCGATTCGATAAAAATTGGATTCATTGCAGAGATAGTCAGGTCAGCAGATCCTTTTCTACTAATGGTAACGTTCCATGGAGTGATCTGAATTCATATATCATTGAAATAGTATAACTTTAAACTGAATTTTCCCTAGACGATACAAATTTGAACAAATAAAGTTCGGGCAAGATCACAAATTTCTGCATGAAATCAAGAAATTTGCAAAGATACATACAAACGTCAGGATATCACTGCCCTAATAAATGTTTATATAAAGCGTAGGTACTCCTGCAGTATGCGTACCAAGATGATTAGGGTTAGACCATAATTTTAGGTACAAATACTACGGGAGTCACTTGGCTATAGTACCCTAACTCGTAATAGAACTAAAATAAGGAAAATTGGAATGAAATTATGGCCTAACCCTAACCTGGTACACATACTAGGCTCCGGTGTCCGCCATCGCCATCTTGGTACGTATACTTCAGGAGTACCAAAGTGTATTTTACCTATTATACTGAGAAAAAAAATGTAGTGACGAAGAAACACAAAAAAACTCATATATATATACATAAATAGTATTTACCAGTATCTTCTTTGACGGTAGGATGATTCCAATTCTTGAAACGTATGTTCTTTTAGTTCGCCCCGACGATAGGGGCGCTGGAGCATTTACCAACATTCCATTCACTATCACATTTCTTTCGGGATCGTATATGAAGTTATAGATCTGTGAAGTTTAGATACGTTTACTTATTGTTATCACAGGAAGATAAATGAAGTTTTTAAAATGAGTTGAAATTAAAAATTATTGTTTATATACAGTTCTAGGAGAACAAAGCGTAAATTTCTCACCTCGTCTTCCTGTCCATCCCAGTTAAAGCAGATGTTGATTCCTGGTTGGATTGGAATAATAAAGTGAGGATCACCCGAGAATCCTCCTCCACCACCCCCACCTCCTCCACGACTTCCACCCCTTGGCCTTAATTTATCCCTCCTCGGAGTAGCGATCACACGAGATAATGCAATACGAGGAGGTGCTTCATCGAAATCTGTGCATCCGTCGCCCTCACAAGCCGCCTAAGTAAACAAAATTGAAATCTTGGTCAAAATAAAATTGTAACAACCATGCAGAATGGAGATCCAGAAGTAAGTGCACCGCGATGTCGCACAACCTGATAACCCTAACCTGGTTAACATACTGTGTTCAGGTTGTGCTTCATCGTGGTGCACATACCACGGGAGCACTGAATACAATACTCACACTGAAACCATCAATGAAGTATTCATATTCATCAGTTTCTTCAATACGGTCTCTTTCCGCTTCTTCCTTTTCTTTCCTTAGTCTTTCCTCCTCTTTTTTCTTTTTTAGTTCTTCTATTTCTTTCTTTAATTCTTCTTCTATAGCCTTCCGTTCATCAGATCGCAGGACCACAAGTGAAGTGAGAGGAGTCACAAAATTATATCTGTAAAATAATCACGAATTAGGCATTAGTAATAAAAAAAAAGTTTGTACAAGATTAAGAAGGTTGTTTCGAAAAAAGTATGAAAAACGATTGGGATTTTCTCCTAGTAATTGGGAAAATCTAGCAACATAAATAAATGAACACTTTTCATACAAGAATTGCTTTGTTAATTTTATATAACAGCAATAAGAACCATTCGACTAACTAATATTCGATTGCTCCGTTTAATGAACGATGCGATGAAATATAACAATCAACGATAAAAGCACAAATTTACCTTAAAGAGAAATTTTCTATGGAACGAAAACACCTAGCTAGAATCTATGATCTTAACAATCAAGATTAACTTAAACAAATTTTTTGTTGGAACGCCCTCAATGTCTTTAACAATTGTTTCGGCGCTCCAGAAGTGTATGTACCAATATGGAGGTAACTAATTTTGTTCGCCTACTTCACATCAAGTTGTAGAGAGGGACTGAAAACTATGGGCAGGGGCATATTCACATGGCACAGGTACATACACTACGGGAGTACCTTTTTTCATTTTTTTCTTTGTGCGGCCAAACTCATTCTTCTTACAATTAAAGCAGACCGCATAGTTAAAAAAATTTCTAATAATTTCCAGTATTATTCATAAACAAAAAAAAGTTTGACCAGATAATACTCACTTCAATGACATATTTAAAGCTTTTGCATTAATTTCTTCCTTCAGTGTTTTATTATTTTCCAACGTTGCTTCGAGGAATAATTCTTTGAGTTGTAGGAACGCCCAAAGTTTTTCAGTAAAATTTTGAATCTAAAAAAGGAAAAAATTATTGGGTTGAAAGTGTTAACTATAAGATATAGAAATTAATTTGGGTTTAAAAATGTATTGACATTGATACCTTAATCATTTTATCGAATTTTGCAAATTGAATCTTTTTATTGCATTGTATTAAATTTGGTTGGTTAGGGTTTAAAAAATGTCATGATATAAAATATCAAACTTGATTTGGAGATTCTTTGATCTCTGATTCTTTGTCTGGATCGATGTCAAAATCTATTTCCAAGTCGTTGTCGAACGATTTTCCTCGAACCTGCACAATAGTGGAAATTCATAAGATCATATTTGGTTGGAATTTTCTTGCATCGCTGTTATTCGATTATTCGATTCGATTATTATTGGACTAGACACCATTGTGTTAATTTATTAAAACCAAATTATATTCGGCAGTATGGAAGTACAGCTGTTTGCGGTCCATAATACTAAAAAAGAACTGCACTTCACTCACAAAACCTTATTGTACCTGTGAATTGTTGGTACTTGAAGTCGAAAGAAAGCGCTATAATGCCATTAATTCAGATTTGGCTTGTTAAATCTCTCTTAATTTTACCAGTTTTTATAATTCTTTCAGCATTCCAGATGACTTTCGGTACATTTCTATCAAATTTAGCTGGAATTTTGCTAACACTGCGGTAATATTAGTCTTTTGATCTTTTTAATCTACGATATTGCTTTGAATAGATTACGAGATAATTATATCTTGCGAATTTCTTATTAAAAGATTACCTGCGCTTGAATGGATCGTGAAGGTCTCGCTAATTCATCATCCAACATGCCTTCCTCGCCTAGCAATTCTAAATCGTTGTCAGGTCGAACCATACCGGCAACAATCAATTCAGACCCAGCGTGAAATACACTGAATGTGTTTACCGTCAGTTTTTCAACCTTTTCTTTCGGATATTCAATGGAGACATCGCGCAGGACTGGTTTAGTGACTTCGTCGAAGAAATTTTTAATCTATAAAAAATCTTTGATGAAATGAAAAATGCAAACTTAAAGTCTTTTTTACAAGCTTTCGATCTAGTAAAGTCGTAGGCCAACTCTTAGGGACACTCTCGGAATCGCACCTCTAATTGACTGCGCTGTTTTGTAGGTTCGAATACCGTGAGAAAAATTGATTATGCGAGACGATTGCTGATCGCTGGGTGGTTCACGTAATCACGGTCGGTTACGGCTTCGTGCACCATCAAGTTCAAGCATCGGAAATGAAGAATTGGGTAGCTATCATATGTACACGAATTGGACAAGTAATGGGCGAGTCCCCGCGGTTTGCCGTGTGAGTAAGTAAGGTTATATAGACTTTCCTTTTTCTCAAAATATGAAAAAGGATACATAAAAGACATCAAATTTACATCTAAAGTAGAGCTCTATCGTTAGTTGGGAAATGAAAAAATAATTTACGACGCAAACATACCAACAGTCCAAAAACACACCTGTTGGTCAGCATCCAGTCCCTCGAATACTCTTCTAGCAGTTCCACCATTTTCAGCAGCAAGTTTTGTCAAAAAATTAAAATCTGTCAAACTACCAAATCCTAGTGTATGTAAATTGAAACGTTCTTGATTGTTCTTAGTCACTGAGTCTACGATGACTTTCGTGTCAGTTTCTCCAATTGACGGTCTGAATAAAATTATTTTGCAACAGATTATAAACAGTTTATAGACACTCATATAAAATATAGAAACAGTGTATATAGACGCTTTAAAAGCCGCTTGACTACTTCACAATGGACTAAAAAAACGACACAGTAATCGAAGACAAATCACGAGTTGCATTGTCAACATAGTTAGTCTTGTAAAAATGGATTGTTTCGAAATAAGCGCTCAAAATCACATTTGGGACATTAAAAGCTAGAATACATTTGGTTGTATAGTATGGTTCTTAATTTGATTCATGTACCTTCCATCAGTCATAAAAACAATCATTTTAGCATAGTTATCCATGTTTGGATCTAGCTCAACTGATCGTTTTGTTAATCCATCCATTCTTTCATGATGTTCTATGAAATCCTCCATTGATGGACCTTCAGATATTTCAACAACTTTGTCATCTTCTTCTATGACAAGTCTGGGTTCGATTGGGAAAACCGGAAAAGGATCGATAATGACTGGTGGCGATGGTTCAGGCAGAAGTATCGGCGGGGTCACAATATCGGTGATATTTTCCTCAACTCCAGAACTTTCCACTTCCACTGTAGAAACATGTTCGAAAGAACGGGAAAATTAAATATGAAGTTGACAATACAAATTCAGTGAAATGTTTGAACTGTTAGTAGCTTATTGCCTGTCACTTCGTCATCGGAATTTTCGGCCACTCATAGTAATCAAATATAACTGAATAGATTTCAGAATACAGTTTCTTTGTTAAAACGCATATCGTCACGCTAATAACCGAATTGCGTAAGTCATTTTTAGCAGTTTTGAGAAAAACGTAAAAAACTTCCTAATGATTTTGTTATGCAATTGAGAGTCAATAATTTGCCATGGTTCAATTTTTTGATCGTAGCCGGATTTAAGTTAATTTGTATGACGCAGTTAAGTGACGTCATAATGGCGCACTGTGACTTAGGCAGAAATGTGTCTATGACTTGGGGATATACGCAATTTTGCAACTTCACTATATGCACCAGTCCTGAAAACCAAACATTCCAAAAACGAATGTAATTCTCAGTATCTACAATGTCTAATCCCCAAAATAGCTAATCAGTTTCAATTACATTATTTTTTATGTTTAAAAATATATATTTCATCAATATAACACGTTCTGCACACCCACCGAAATAAGACTAAGATTAAATATAAAGAATAAAACAGCAATGCACCCAATATAAAAGCCAACCAAGGTAAATTGGACTCGGATAGTGAATATCACAAGTGCACGTCTTCCTATACTGTAGGAAAAATTCAAATTAATACGCGCTAAGCTAGAATCCGAGATGCAAAAAATCGAAAATACTTCGCCGAGGTTATTTTGCCTTTGTTACGTCACAATAGTCCCGCGGTAACAATGATAATTCATTATGACGAAACAATTGCACAAATGTGCATGTCATACTAAATCTCCATTTTTATGGGTTTCGGAATTCCTAAAATAAAATCTGAGTTAACAGACAGGTGCGCAGCATTACATAAATACCTATTCTATAAAAAACTCAAAATCGCCAAAAATGACTTACGCAATTCGGTTATTAGCGTGACGATATGCTGTTTTTATTAAAATGCTCGAAATGGATAGTTATGTTTTTTTTTAATTCAAATTCGGTATGCAATTCCAAATATCTTGTTGTGGTGTTTTTAAATTAAAAAGGAAAGTAACATGTTGTTGACGAGAGAGATTCTATGAGAAAGCAGAAGCCAATTTTAGACCAATAATATTAGTTGCAATAGCCTGGGTTAAAGGGAAATGCGGAAACAATTTCAATAATAATATCTTTAAGTTATTAAACTGTACTTCGTATAAGATAATGGCAGGCGCTTCACCAAATGCTTTTGATTTTTATTATCCATCCCATCAGTAAGAGCCAAACATAGACACCTTAGTCTGCGCTTAATAATCATAACAACCAATTTTATTTATTCTATATTCGTGTTTAAACTATGAGTGGAAGAATGACTTTTTCTGGATATAAATTTAAAAATTTACGAAGGCTATAATATAATATTTTCAAATGTAAAAACAAATCTTTAGACACAACAATATATTAACAACACTAACCCTCGAGTTCTGGCATGTATGGTTCCAATAATTTAATTGCGACATCCAAGGCACTGACGACGTTCGTTCCGCCACGAGGTTTAGAATCACGTACGTAGGCGACTGCGTCTTCGACCGTCGACTCTTCTGCATGAGGCATGGATTCTTTCATCCATGGTTCGGCTTCGTCACCAAAGAGAACAAGATTGAAACGATCCTTGAGAACAAAGGTTTAGAAATATCATGTAAAATATTTTTTGCATCGTAGAGTATTGTATTAGAGTGGATGCTGCGCGTTTACAGCGAACCAGTGCTAAGATGATAGGAGGTTATGTTTTGCTAAATTGTTGTTGCTGGGTTGCAAAGAATCATATTTATCCACAGCCAATGAATTAATCGATTTCACATTTTCAATACAATTCAAAAACAAATCGTCTAACACCAAATTTTGTTGTTTTTTCAAATTCAAACACGTTCATGTGATATTCATTACAATTCTTTCAATATTTCACTGGAATTTCACTGACACTGCAGTGTGGTATTCGCTTCCATATATTCGATCATTGCTATCTTTGCGTTTTAGATACAATCGATTAATACAAAGACAACTAACACGTCTACAGAAATACATGATCTGAATATGTGTTGTCATTTAATAATCACAGTTTATCATACCTCTTTGTTTAAAGTTTGCAATGTGGAAGCAAGGGCATTCTGCATTTGTGCCATCTTATATCCATACATAGAACCCGATGTATCGATAACAAACACGACGATCTTTGGTGTAGGCGGAAGATCAGGAGGAGCAAAGAAATGAGCAAAATATCTGAAAATGGTTATTATTTCATTAGGATAAAAGGTATTGGAATCCAATACGCTTACCAACGACTCAGTCTGGTGATGATGTCACCATGAAGAAATGATTGAGATCAGTACTCAATAGTTTATTTTTTCATCATACATTCATCATTACAGAATATAAAATATTCAAATCAAAAATTTCGTGTCAATGTGAAGAAAATCGTCAAAAACAATACTGGCTACCGAGCAGATACACCATTGATTAAGCATAACAGTAATTAATAACTAATTAGTAATTATTGGTATAGTATTTTAACAATAGATATTAGAAAAGCGATGCCGGAAAAAAACAAGGTGACATTTGCAACAGCGGTAGGCTGCTTAAACCATACTGTTTTCCATCAATGCATACGAGGTGGAATAAATTTGATGAATGTATATATAATGGCTTACCGATTGCATGAAATACTCACCCATTGGCGACAGATACTTGTCCAAATAATTGTGGCCTTGCGACATCATACTCCACGGTAAATATTCCGGAAATACCCTTCGGAGACCACTTTGTTTGTGACGCCACATCAGGAGCGTAATGAATGTGTGCAGCAGTGTCATGACGACTAAAATAAAATAATCATGAAATTTAATTTATTCAGATTGTGAAGAGATGGCATTTGCGAATATTTTCTATAAAACCATTTTCAAATAATACGTTCAAAATCAGTTAAAACTTAAATCTTTAATGTTCCTTTTTAGTGCAATTTATAGTATTAGCACTAAGTGAAATCATGATTTATTTGAGAAAAGAAAAAATTACGTTATGTAAGTGTGTGTACGAATATGGAGGTAACTAATTTTGTTCGCCTACTTTACATCAAGTTGTGAGAAAATACTGAATCCTATAGATAGGGGGTATATTCACTTGGCTAACACAGAGAGTCCCCAAACTCGTAATAGAACTAGTATAAGGGAAATCGGAATAAAAGTATGGTTTAATCCTAACCTGGTACACACACTACGGGAGTACCCAAAATTGTACGGAGTTGAAAGTCGCAATTTTTATATTCCTTTAGTAAATAATCACTGTCGGAAATGGTAGGTCTGAGTTATCGGAGTCGAGTATTTTGAGTCTGAAATGTGGGCCTTACTTCAATTCTCTACAATAACATTGTACACCCAAATATTTTTTTATATAATGTATTTATAAACAAACCTTGTTGTAATAAATGTTCCCTTTGGTGCCTCCTCTTCAACAATATTTGTCAGTGTTGTTTTTATCGGTAAAACACGAACAAATGACAAACGATCTTCTTCCGTTATATGAATATCTATGGTTAATCGACGAATGGGTTGGTCAGGGTTGAGAACGAGAGAGTATTCGTATCTTCCTCGAACCTTAAAAATAGTTAACAATAATATATCGATTTTTGTATTGAGAATAAAATAATCAGAACAATTAACTAATTATGATATTGAATTAATTTTAGAAATATGTGAACATTGCATTACAGCACATATACTTCAGAATAGTTCAGGTGTTTTCGGATATTAAGTTCCAAGATACTTCAGTCAATATTCATGATGAAGAAATAATTTTGTTTGTCACCCAATTTTTTTGCTACGACATTGCATTTAATTTAGTACAACAAACTCACCCTTCTCAAAAGTTGTTGATATGTCAGAATAAATTTAACATGTTGTCGTGGTTCAACGAACATACTAGTTCGAAACGCTCTCGTTGAAGTATCTCTTGCTGCAACATGACCGGCAACTGTACCTCGGGATTTCGCCTGAAGGGATAAATACAAAAGTCACAATCGTTATGGATGTGCATTTCTATGTGAGTTTACTCGTTTTGTAGTCGCTCCAGAAGTGTGTGTACCAATATGTAGGTAACTAATTTTGTTCGCCTACTTTACATCAAGTTGTGTGAAGGGAATGAAACCTATGTGCAGGGGGAATATTCACTTGGCTCGCACAGACAATCCGCGAACTCGTAATAGAACTAAAATAAGAAAATCGGAATAAAATTATGGTCTAACCCTAACCTGGTACATACACTACGGGAGTACCGTTTTGTAGAACACAATTGATACTCTCTTAATCCCAAATGAAACGTTATCTTCCAAAAACAAAGGTCGTTAAACCAAATACATATATGGAAAAAACAAGAAACCAATATATACACTGCCTGAAGATATCTTATTATCACAACTTTTTTACATCAATAATTGACCACTTTGTGACAAAAACTTTTAATGCGGTAAATAATAGCGCATCATGGCAGATGAATCTTAAATCAAAAGTACCTTGTCGTAAACTTTTTTCGCTTTTTTCTTTTCTTCGATTTCTCCAACTATTGTTTCATTTTGTAATTCGATTACAATTCCAGTGATAAAAGCATCATTTGGTAACAAAATGTCAAACTCGGCTTCTCGACCAATGTCTGCGTTATTTGTCACCATCGATGTAACGACGGTTTCTGCAAATCTGAGAGAAGATACAAAAGAAAAAATACTAATTATGCAAAAGCAAACGTTTATTAAACATAAAACTGACATCATTAAGAACGTAAAACACTGAAAATAAAGTAAAATTATATTTTTTATGAAAAATATATTCTATCTCATCGTTAATTTTTATCAAAAACTAGAATGTCGTAACCGTTTCTACAGTCTGAAATTGTAAAAGGAGGAATCGTGACATGTAAAAGTCGTATATCATGATGGATATTTACCTTGCATTAATGTTGGTTTTAATAGCAAAAGCATCAATTCTCGGACGTTTCTTTTGGCCGACAACAAGCGTACAAAACGTGTACTGAAAAGCCATGGGATTTTTTCCTTTTGCTGATTATGAAGAAAAAATAAAATATTTGAATGTGTAAACTATGATATCCCTAAATATGTTGGGACTTTACCTATAACTGGAAGAAAAAATGGTAACTAGGTTTCAAATCTATATATACAATGATCGTCATCATGCGTTTGTCTATTTATTTGAGTAATGGAATCAGGGAAAATCCCAATATCATTTAATAGAGATTTTTCTTTAATTCAACTATAATTCAGAAAAATTATACAATAGCATGCACAACGCCTAAATATTATTCAAATATAGTTCTATATTATGAATCATTCTAAAATATGGGATAACGTTATTATTTTCATGACCTATTTCTTGTCCCAAGTCCACAAAGAAAGTTTTATAAGGTTTTAAAGCTTTGTAAAAAAGGATAGTTAACTTACCAGTTATCGTGATCTTGATAGCTGTGCCGTCTCTCACACTTTCATCGACTCGAAATCTCATCAATTTTGTTACTCCCTCCCCTCTCGTCAGCTTGATTCTCATAGTTTTCACACCACCGTGGAAAGACGAGGCATCTTTTTCATCAGAAGTCGTCACCAAGAAATGGTCCTTGATTCAACATAACAGATAAATTAAAATAATAGCAGTGGTAGGTTAGGTAACGATGAAATTTATTAGGCTCTATAACTCTATGTATTCATTTTGAACTAAAATTAGAAAACACATCAACAAAATATCGATTCAATTGATGGTATAAAAATACTTGTTAGTAATCAAAAGTATAAGAACACTATTATTTAATATATTCTCCTGTTTTGGATATTAATCTTGTCATATATTCATTGCTGACGTTGTGAAGGCAACATTTTCGGCAGATATAGAATAATATTTAACAGTTTTCGCTGGGAAATTTAGACAAGAGCTTTTCTCTGACTCCACAATCCATTAACACCATAAAGATTCAACATAAATACCAAAATACCTCCGAGTTTTGTATGGAATTTAAGTTTCTTGTGTCTTTATACTAGAATTACAACGCATTATCATGATAATTTCACATCCAAAAAACAATATTCAATTTAATGGCAAAGCGCCAACAGCATCAAAAACGGCAAATTCCGTCTCGCCAGACGAAAACAAATATTTGAAATATTACTTACGTCCGGTCCAAAGTTTTCCAAAGTGATGTTAGCACTGGCTTCTTGTCCAGCAATGAAGACAAGTTTTGATAAATCGCAAGATATTTTAACATGAGACGCACTTAATAGTTTTGGCTGCATTCGTTCAAATACGTTACCTGAAAACAGATAAAAATAATGCCTGTCTTAATTTTTACAAAATTATTCATTTTACAAAAGTTTGTTCAAAACCAGATGTCATGCCGTTCATTTAAATTGGCGTTAAAAGATTGCTACAAGCCAATACTGAGGGTGGTCATATGCATAAACCCGTGTCAAGGACCATTCATTAAATTACTTTAGGATCAGTGGTTTGAAAGTTATGAACAAAAAACTAAGCAGGATATGACGAAAATTTTTATCTAGTTTATTGGGCAATTTCATTACCAGATGTTACTGGTGACGTCATTATCAATAACATGAAATGATATCGTTCATCATCGCTGTACTCGCAGATTCATTTTTTTTTAAGTTTTCAACAGTTGGAAACGAGATCGTCTAAATCCATAATTTTATCATAACGCGTTCTTATATGGCAGATAACCTACTATAATGATTATAATAACACAGTAATGTGTAAAACATGACACTCGCGATTAAACGCGCTCAAGTAGCGTCACAAAGCAAGACTCAACATACGCTGCTTAGGAAATACAGAATTTTCACGTCGGAATTCAGTGATTTACGTTATTATTTGGAAGCGTTTACTATTATACTATCACTCTAAACAAGTCACACACAACTAATCAGCTAAAATAAGGTGGGAACTAACAATGTTTTCCATGATTGAAATTTTTCCCGTTCGACTACGTTATCCCAATTAGCTATATGTGTGGGGACTAGACCTCTGAAATAACCAGGGATCTTTAACATGGTATATAGGGACCACAGGCAGGCCAACGCCTTGACCACCATTCCATTTCGTCCACAACTAAGCACATAAACTATACAAGCTTTTATTTACTATTCTTTGCTGGTTGATAGTGGTCAGTAGATGAGCATCGACTTGAAGAAATTATTACAGTATGGAAATAGGAACATTTGGTATTATTATTTTTATACTTGCCAGTGTTGAACAAATGTTTTTTTTATCCATGAAGGTTTTATATTTTGTGTTTGAAAAGTTAAATTTACCTTTCCCTAACTGTATTCACGATCACTGAAATTTATATAATCCGACTCGGGCTTGTATAGCTGCTAACTTAAATTTCTGCTTGATGTCTATTGCTACAAAATTTCACGCCGCGCCAAGACACTCTCGTCAGTCGATTCGGTATCGATGTCGTATAACTGATATATATGCAGGCAAACTTAAGATTGAAATTTCATCAATTCGGCGCACATATGCTGTGCATTAGGTACTCCCGTAGTGTGTGTGCCATGTTAGGGTTAGGACATAATTTTATTCCAAATTTCCTTACTTTAGTTCTATTACGAGTTCGGGGACTGTCTGTGTTATCAAAGTAAAAATTCTCCTGCCCATAGATTTCAGTTCATTCACACAACTTGATGTAAAATAAGCGAACAAAATTAGTTACCTCCATATTGGTACACATACTTCTGGAGCGCCGTGCATTGTTTATGTATGTGCCTATTATTAAAAATCTAGGTAATATTAATATTCGATACCCAAGCCCCACTTCCAGAAAACAATAGGATCCAAAAGTTAAAAAAGTTATATTTATAATATTATGTGGCACGCGGATCTCAAGTGTGTAACGCCAGCAGCTTTGTAAATCTTGCAGTATTTTTCATTTTTGTACAATCAAGCGTGAAATTCCTATTGAAAAGCGGTGACTAAAAACAAGGGCATGGTTTCAGTTCCATGAAGCGTAGTCATGCAAATCAATCATTATATTTCTGGTTAATATTAATCAATATACAGTAGAATTGCGCGAGACCAACTCCCAATCCTTCCTCAATGCCCTTGCGCTAGTGGATCCGTATGCGTATAATGCAAGGATGCTGTAGCAGAAATAAAAATAACATAATATTCAATTCAAGATTTCTGCTGCACACTAACACAAATATATTTCTGTTATATCATAATACATTTGTGTTCTTGCAGCAGGACTCTTGAATTGCATATTAATCCAAGGTTACTTGGTTCTATCAATTTTTAATTCTTTTTGTATTTATATATCGATTTGTTTGCATTTTTGATAAGGACCTTAACGGCATTGGAGAAATAAACGATTCGAATACACATATTTTACAAATTAGGGTACAACTTATGAAATATTGTTGAGGTATATGACCATACTATATTTGAGATCTACCGTTATCGGAACCGATTATAGATATCGTCAATATAACGGTTTCTGAAGAGAATTTGAAAAGCAAATGCACGGAATGAAATTTTTCATCGTATCTTATTCAATTCATAATAACTGATACGAGTTTTGAATTTGAACGGAGATTTAATTTTTATATTAATTGAAAAATAGAGAACTCATTTCATCAACTGGGTACATCATACTGTTTTTAATTAAGTTTATTTTTTCAAAAATACGGACACGAAAAACAGCAATAGCGGTCATTTCGACCAAGTATCGAAATATTTGCATCGGTTAACTTATTCTTGGCAATACTAATGCATGAACTAATACTATTCCATTCTATTAAACATATAATATCAGATCTTCAAATTTATACATAGTACCTTATATAACTGATGAATATTTTATTTTCATAAAGTTTAATTTTTATCTCTTTTTTTTTTTGAGAAACAAATAAATATAGAAAAACAAGGTTTTATTCAGATTTTGGAAAAAAATTCTTAGAATTGCATTATATACCGCGAAATCAGAATCGGCATTTTTAAAGAAGAATTATAGTAAATGGTAAAGACCAAAAGCTTATTAATCTTATAATAATTGTTATATAGATATGTGATTGCAAATTAATAATATAAATTTAAACACGATAAATCAACATTGCTAAGGAACCAATGTGGGTATTTTTATCAAATATATATACATGGCAATTTAACCTATTTAATATTAATATATATAAGCTGTATAAACAGGTATTTTACTTTATGCAAAAAGCTGTCTGTCGAAAAAAAAACAAAAAAAAAAAACAGTGTGCACATACTATTTGCAGCAGTAGAATAGTTTAAATTTGTATATTTAAATCCCCACAAATATCTTTAAATGTTGGCTAATTTTGATTCCTCTTGACATATGTTACAAGGGCTCTCGGTTATGTAGAGCAGACTGCATGTAGTTTTCAACACGGTTCGGGTTCCGCCTCGCTGAAGATGAAAGGCAAATCTAGTTTTCAATCTCAAGGCGGTATTATTGAAAACATACCAAGTCGGAACTTAACTACAGCCTGTGGGAATATTATGCCGGTTCATGTGATCACTACCGCGTATTATTTTGCAGTTTATCAAGATTTGCGCAAAACATCGTACAGAGTAATGCGTGGGCAGTCTCGCCGACGAACGACAGGTTTCCGGTAAACTATGGGGATTTCCGTAAACATCTCATCGGAAGGAAGTTCTCCCAGAGGCAAACATGTTATCAGTGCAGCAGTTTGGGTTAAGTCCACAAAAAAACTGTCAACATAATCAATGCAATCGGTTGTTTTGTTTAAAAATGCACCAGGTTTAAAAGATGTTAAAAGTGCAGAGGCGGGTTAACATCACCATCGATTATTATTATTGAATCTGTTAGGACGATTTTCTATTTGATTAGCCGACTTTGGTGAGAATGCGGGGGTTTTCAAACATAGCAATAATACCGTTGCAAGCGACGATTGCTGAACTTCAACCACGCAAGCGCACATTTTCAGAGCTGTCGAAAATTAATAAAAAAAAAATAATATGAATCTTAGTTATTAATCAACAAAGAATTTTTTTATAGCATTTCAGATTTATCATATCCATTTTTATCCTTACTACATAGTATCAGAACAAACCTTTGCTGTCATATCCTTTGACAACCACGCGGAATGAACCAAGCTCCGAGATTCCTTCCTTAAATATATGAGTTATTGTATTTCCTACATCGTGAGCAACAGGTATTGTCTTTGTAACGCGTCCTTCTTCGTTGACAAGTTTTAGTGCCGTAGCCTGAACACGTTCGTCATCATATCCATAAGCGTCCAACACAAGACCTACCGATTCCTCAACAAACGGATCGTGATCGGAGATCTGAATTATATATATAACAAAAACGAAAACTCAATTTAGAGTTAGTGACTTTGTAATAATGCGACAGTGAACTTTTGCACCGAGACGAACGAACGAAATCGCCAACACAATAGTTAGGATTGCATCCCTCATCCAACAAAAACCAGAATTAGATATTTTTTTAAAGCAAAAAATCTCTTCTAAATCAATTTAATAGTTGAGTGAAAGTTTGGTAATTGCCAGCACAAACATAAATTTAATTCTGTAAAGCTGTAGGTTATGGAACTATGACCAGCGACACCAAGGATGGTTTGGAAATTGTCACACTAGTGCTCTCCTGAGAGCCTTTCGAAATTCGAGCGAAGTCATTGTAACACTGTTCGATAGATATTGACAATTGGCATTGAAATAAGGGTAACTAATCGTTTGTTCACACTGGATTTTGTCTCTAGTATTTTTCCCCATTTGTCATGGATGTTTGAAAATAAACGGTTTTTATTTATCTCTCGCAACGTTCCTGACTTTTCAGAAAATTCACACGACCTCGAAGAGAATCTTAAGCAAAAGCTTGTTATTAAACTCATTTTCACGCTTGATAATCTAATAATAGTAGATAAAAAACTAAGACGAGCAATTTTTTGCAATTTACTACCGGATAGAAATCCCGCAATCCCCTAACACTTGAAGATCACTCACTTATCAACTCAATGGTCCGTGTCGATGACGCGAAACGTGTAATCGATACTTTTTATATGTTTAATCATTTTTGTAAATTGAGGTCGAGAAATATGAAATTTAGTGGTCGGAAGTCAGCAGTGTGATAAATTTATTGCAATTCATTACATGCTTCAACAATTCCAAAAAAATTGCTTCAGTGAAATTGTAGAATATTGAAATTTAAATGATTTTTCAAAAATGATCAAGTCGAATATCAACGCAATTCAAAAAACATATGAAATAAAAATGGATAAGTAAAAAGTGCGTGTGAATGATGTCGCAGAATACTCTTGAAGATCTGTTTTTTTAAACGCAACCCTAAACAAATTAACTATAAAGCAGTCCCAATCGCTGTATTATTGGCCTTCAAAATTGTAAAAAAATAATTCATAACACGGGGAATTTCATCATTTGATTATTCTTTCAGTATTTTTCCGCACTGCATATCAACCGTTTTTCCCTGAGGATGATTTGCCGAAAAATATTGGGATATCAAGTTTCTTTAACTGCGATCAACCATCAATCTCATCACCGGTAATCGTGGTTATTCGCCTGATAACAATCTCACAATGGAATAATATTTAGCTTTGTACGCAGACTGATGAGCATAACATTACATGAGATGACTGAAACACCTTTATATATCTGAATTTTGGCAATTGATATTTTCGTTGTCAATAAAAGGAATACATCATATAATACATTAATAATGAAGTATTGATCCTTGTTTTTGACAGGCTACACCGCATTTCAAAAACAAATGTAATCTAACGAAATACGGAAGTGCGATTTTGTTGCAATACCATAGCCATTTCAAGTAATTTCAAAAAAATACATTATTTCAGCCAACAAGTATATGTAAAGTAAAAAGTATTGATGCTATTTTGACGTTGAGTTTTGATGGTATTTTGACGATGATAGTAGTCACCTCGGCCGCTGAAAACCGTGATCATTTTCTAACTTTTCACCAACATAACAAAAACTCGAGCGCCGCTAAAATAGCCAGTTTTATGTACGACAAACAAAGTAGGAATATTACCTTGTAAGCATCATCGGGTTCTGACCTTCCCTTAGTAAAAACATTGAGAACGAATCCCAAAGATGTTTTTGCTTGAATTTTTACTGAACAGTTTTTTGTCTCCACATCCATTCCAATGGACCATTCACCAAGAGAAGATGACTCATTTCCTGCAATTTTGATGTTAGTCGCCCATACATCACCATACCTGATATTCAAAGGGTTCAAAGTTTGAACGTTAAATAGGAATATGCAAATCATGTCGCATTAAACTTTGACACTTGAAATGAATAAACTTCGTTAAAGGCTGACCTTCCTTACAATTCATTCCCTTTCGTTGAGGACTCAATACCACCTTCTGTTCGAAATTGTATAAAATAAAAAAAATGATCAACCAAGGTAAATTCCAACCAAATAATTCAACAGCGGCGGATGATCGGAAACTGCAGAGGATACCCGAAAGTGTATTAATGGGGCATTTCAAACTTATTTTTGTTTGAATTGCCGCTTGCGCCGTAAACAACATCATAAAAAGGGGGTAGTTTCGATGACATCAACTATTGACAATCTATTTCAATATTATGCACCTTTGGCAGCTCGGCATAAGAATCTTAGTTTAATGACATTCCTTGTAAATAAAAGTCAGATTAACATGGTGGGCGGTGGCATATCTGTTTATCTATTACAAATGTTAAATGGTTTTCGCGTACTTCATACACCATGACCTCGTTAAGGATTCAAGTTGAAATCAAATGGTAGTTAGTTAAAACAAGTGCGGCTGAGCAAGATAGGCCATTTAGTTGATTATACATGCTTTCGGCACGCAAATTGCAACCTCTAATCACAAGTTTTGTATGGATTGCTTCCTGAAAGGCAAATTACTATCGTAGGCCTTTATGTGGGAAAGATACATTGTAATATTCTTCTAAGTGTGTACAACGTAAAGTACCTTTGCGACAATTGTAAAAAAAGTCAATTAGATGAGAGGTAAATGTTTTCATCGACAACAAGTATGGCCCATATGCGATCAACATATAAAAGTACCTATTTAAAATATGACGTCAGTATCTCCAGAATCAACAAGATAAGGACTAAAAAATGCAATGTAAATATCGAGGAATGCCGCCAGGTCCAAACGTTCTCATTTATTTTGGTTCTTTCGTGTTTTTTTATTGAATAATGTACACATTCTACAATGTTTACTCAAATCTTGAGAACTTTTGTGTGATACGACGGGGCGCTTGTACAGTTCTCTCTTTTTATCACACCATATTGGCGTGACTGTCACACCATATTGGCGTGATTTTTTACAAAATGGCAGGTGGTGTTTTAAACACGCTATGATTACATTAATATGATCAGAACAGTAAAAATTAAACCGAAGTTTAAAAAATTATAATATTTTACATATAATATCACAATATACATAACGCCTAGGATATTGATCTCAACTGAATGTCGACTTTCATTTGACATTCTTATGAATCATATCTTATAGGTGATTTTCGGAAATATTCTCAGAATTTTGATCAGAATTGATTGCTGCATAATCACTCAATTTAAATACAATAACATTTACTACATTTGAGCAATTGCGTCTGTGTGGCCTAAGCAAGACTCAATGAGTTTCTCAATAAATTTTAATCAAATCATTATAGGAAATGACATAACTGGCATCTATTTACCACTGATTCGAATGGTATTTTGAAGCAGAAGAGAACGTTTGTATCGATATTTCCACTCAAACTTTCCTCTTAGTGTTACTTAGTGTTGAATATATTTATAGACTGTCTGATAGGCATGTGACGACTGACAATAACTTCGAGTGAAGGCAGTTTATATCCCTATGGATTTGGGGACGAAAATATTTGAGGTTCATCTCATTTTTGGATATGTAGGCAACACTGTACCGCTACTAAAATAAATCCTCTATTCAATTTTGACCTTTAAGGTGATTTACAAATTGGAACTTATTATCATAAGCAAATTTGGAAATTGACATTAATTAGTTTTGATGAATTTCAGAAATGCACTATGAACTATAGTGGGGTGGCCAACCTGCTTTCGACCGCGATCGACTGAAATCTTCAAATAGCTCGCGATCGACTGATCGATAATAAGGTCATACACAAAAACGAATTAGAACTGAATATGCTGATAGCTGTACTTAATGTAGTGTAAAATTTGTATTTTTTATGTTCCATTTAATTTGATCACGTAATTGTACCCGGAGTAAATGTTTTATCATTCATTACTTATCGATTTTAATATAAGTAATTAATAAGTATGTTGATAGGTATTTGTCTGTTTGTCTGTCTGTCTGTCTGTTAGATGCACGCGATATCTCACGAAAGCGAGGTTGAATCTGCTTCAAATTTTGCATGTGCATTTATCATAGCTCTGATGATAAGCCTATTGATTCTCGATGAATTATGTCGTATAATTAGCGAGTTATTAATTAATTAGTGATAGGACACACGGTGTCACTATGGAGTAAGAGCGCTGTTTTGGGGGATCCCCTAACCTTCGATCGATAAGTCTTCGGTCTCCGATCGATATTCTCGTTTAAGATTTATTCGGATCACCGATCATACAATTCAAGCCTTGCCTAATTTTTAGTCGTAAGTGTCGAAAATTCCTTTGAAAACTCTGCCAAGTATTCATGTTCAGTACTGTGTTTGTCCTGTTCTAAAACACACAACAGGCGCTGCATGAAACTGGTTTGACGCTTTTTTTCGGGGTATGCTATTGAATTCACTCAACATCAGACGCGATCGACTACTCGAGACGTGGCGATCGACGTGTTGGCCACTCCTGAACTATACGATCCACCCATTCCCATTGTAAAATAAATTAATTACCTACAAAAAGATTTGTTTTCTTTAAAATTTCCGTATTGAACAATAAAAAATCATTTTTGATACCCTTGATATATGTATAGTATTCTTAAATTTCACATCAAAAAATATCAAAATTGTACAATATCATATAGAAATCTTAAATTTGTGAGTAGTAATAAAACTATTATTTGCAAAGCAAAGCCGGTCTGTCAAACTTGAACCATTCATTTTATAATATAAATACATATGTGTCTCATTCCCTTACAATTGAAAATTCTAACCTGTCTCCATCTATCTTTATATGCTTGTCGGACCCTGGCTTCATAACGTGGGTGTGCTCGCAATGACCTTGAGTTTCCAATAGTATTTCTTGCACCGAGCTATCAACGTAAAAAGGTATCACATTGCTGGGTTCTGAATAAAATAAATCAAGAAACTAGACAACGAAAGATATAAATTTTAGGTATTTCATTTGTTGGTGAAACTAAAAATCGATAGTTGTAGTAAATCAGTTGCAAATTCAAACTTGGCCGGGATCGCAATGTTGATTTCTGAAGCCAATGGCAATCTGTTATTTTATTTTCACATTGTTCTTAACAAAATACACTGTTTTCGTTTGACATTATTGTGAAATCGCCAAAAGAAGTTACCGAAAAATTAAACTTAAAGGGGGATTCATAACCGTGTTGGTAAATATTATTAGTTTCGTTATGACAACATAAAAACAAAATGTCCAACATATACATAGTATGGTATATTACAAGAAACAAACTTTTAGTTTTCTAGACATTGGCAACTTATCGAAAGTGAAACCGTTGCAAAACAACGAAAGTTTCAACGAGTAACTCAATAATAGGAAAAAAAAACGCGTTATTAGTTTGTGGTTGGTAATCGGCGGTACAAAGTCCCAAGCGGCATCAGTTATTTCAACATCAAGCCGATTCGAAACTGAAACCAAATGGCCCAATAACAATTTTCTCCTTTAGCGTTATCTCCTTGAGCGGTCGAAAAAAAGAAAAAGGAAATATCAAAAATTCCCCATTGATGAAGTCCAGCAATTGATTGTATTAATGGAGACTCAAAAAGTATGTTTTTCGGCGCTCCAGAAGTATCCAGTGTGTGCCAATATGGAGGTAACTAATGTTGTTCACCTAATTTTCATCAAGTTGTGTAAGGGGCCGGGAACTTAGAGGCAGGGACTTCACTTGGCTAACACTAAAATAAGGAAAATCGGAATAAAATTATGGCCTAACCCTAACCTGTTACACATACAAACGGGTTTCCTTTTTTTTCAGCTCAATTCACAACCAAGCCCAAACATATCCCTCTTGCATCTCTCGGACACAAAGAACAAACTCAGTTCATGATCAACTAAAACGCTTCCGCACTTTATATTGGAAAAGCTATTTACACGCCATGTGAGAATATCAATTTCACGCATTTTATGTCAGTAAGTTATCAAAATGAAAATGTGTCCTGGAGATGCATATATATATATGATTCATAAATATTCCCCTTCGTAAGATAAAAGAAAAAAGTACTCGATTTCGTTTGATATTGGTATTTAATATACCTTGAGCATTCGATACCACTGTAACTTGCTTCAGCAAAATGACTCCTTGTTTAGCATTCGATTGAACAATATCTGTTGTACGGAAAATGTCGCTTCGACTTATTACGAGAACCTGACAAATAATAGAAGAAAAATTGATTATAATGGATTTGTTGAGAACTGATATGGCGTAAATTGTAAAATATTATTCGTGCATAAAACAGCATTGATTTTAGTGAAAATACATTTTTTTGGTAAATATTATCCTACTAACGGTAACCGGAACTTATCTGATACGACACTAACTAGAAATTACAGTTGAAAATGACCAACTACTTGTCAAAAGCAAATAAGAGGATTGTGAATGAAGAACGATACTCACTTTTCCTCCAGTTTGCTTTGCAATGTGCTTATACAATGGCATGCATTTTTTATATTCTCCATCATTAGCACAATTACTAATGCTGTTAGTGAGCATAAACGTTACCACGATTGATTTTTGACGAGCCTGGGCAACGACAGTATCCTGGAAGTGAACATATATTTTTTTTAATCATTGGTGAAACACTGGCTATGCCACACTGTATAGAAATTGAGCATAATCCAAATTACTTAGCAATCAGAATAAAAGAATTATAATTTGTCCATTCTTCAATCCAATCCTTTAAATATGCTGGGTTAACGTCGTGTCATAAGCAAACATTTCAACAACCAATGCAAATACCGATAAAGTATCGCCATCCGTATATAAGTGGATTAGTGGTTAACGCGCTGGTGGTAGGATGTGAAAATTTGACTTGACTACTTCAACCGAGCGGCTGCTTGTCCGGAATCTTGTTCTAAGCCAATATGTATGAGCCCTCGAAATTTCGACAAGTTTGGGATTTGTGTCATAGAGTTCAAATGTTAAATAATGTCCATACCTGCAACACGTAATCTTTCGCATCCACGTCGGATATGACATAAATAGTAGATCCAGGTCTACTGTTTTCAATCGCAAGTTGAATTCCCCGCATTGCAAGTTCTGGGGCATCTCCACCTCCATGAGCGTATAATCTGAATTAATGTAAGTTTTGAATCTCAAGTCTCGTGATTACAATACATTTTATTTGATTCGTTCTAATGGTCATCGTCACAGATATAGCATTGTTTTATGTAATTTTTGTATTATTTGAAGCTAATGCATGTTGCTGAGCTATATTCTTCTTCCCAGTTTTAGCTTCAGTAGATCTTAGAATTTCAGCAGCAGGAGATTAATTTCCCTTACTGTTAAGCAGTGTTGGTGACCTTGCTTTATGCAAGTTACCATTACAATTATATATAATAAATCTCATGAAACTAAGAGTGATTATTTTTATTTCAAAATTTTAAATAGCTGCTTGCATTGCGTCTTGCTGGGGTCAAAGGTGAAAAATACGAATAAGTGAGATCGACATATCTTACTTTTCCAAAGCTTGGTGATATTCTTCAGCATTGTTTGTTACAGTTACAGGACCGACACCAGGATCATTAAAAGGAACAAGAACAAAATCTTGTGGTGCATCAAGTGTACCTTTTGTAAATCGGACGATTTCCTTAAACGAAGATATTGGCTCTTTTGAAAAATAAATTCATTACACTGGATCCGTGGTGCAGTGCTTAATATTTCATAAATATATTTGGAGCTGCAAATCTTTTAATTTGAAAATGCATTTCGAGCTCATGTACAATGAAATTACGGAAAAAGGTCCGGCGAGCGAAAAGCCGGGCTTCAATCTCTATCATAGCGGGTTGAAGAAGAAGCAAAATGCTTTTCTAAGATCAAGTAAAATCTATTTGTTTTAATCTTCTCTCTTTGAAATGAAAATTATCAAAAATGACTGACCAAATACATGGCACAGTATTGAAAATTCCAGTCGATATTAAAAAGTTTGGAAATGACATTAAAAACAGATATCGCATTTCTATATGATCACTGCTTGAAACTACTGATCATTCTTCACATTCCACAAAAATTAGACTATGGTGTATGAAATGTTATTTAATGTGCTTCCTGCGAAAAAACTGAAATAGAATTTGCGGCCCCAGAATACATTTTAGTTGTCCATGGCCACACTGGATAAAACTTTCTCGTTTTAAATAAATAGTATTCGTGTTAGAGCTAATGTCTGTACCTGAGCACGCCGTTTCGCTGCATCAATTTCACCACTCATACTTCCGGTATCATCAATTGCGAATGCCAGAGTCGATCCGACACCAAAGGCAAAAAATTGGCTGAATGCGGTGTCTCCAACCTCATTTCTGATTCTGTAATTTAGACATGAAAATGCCATTTAATGTTGCATATTAACCTGCGACTAATTGGAATTTAGGCTGCTCATAAGTGTATGAATGATAATCATGTCGTTAATTAACAACATTTGGTGACTGTTTTCTAGTATATATCTGAAAGTTCGCTTTTTCCTGATATCGAATCGTTTTTTGATGACTGGCTTTTCATTTGTATTTTATTCTATACTTCTTATTTCCAGTAAATTTTGGAGAGCATTTCTGTAAATCGAAGTTTCGAGTATTCTGATAACATACTACATAATTATACAAGTCGCAGTATTTATTACCTGTAACACTCAACTTCGATAGCCTCCAATACATCATTCAAGATGTATTCTTCAACACATAAATCATTCTTCCAAGATTCCGTTTCCCCATATTCGTCGATGATAATTCTCAATAGTTGTCCTGCTTTGTTCCGGGCATATTCTCTACTGCCTGCCGTAATATACGAATACAAATTCCTGCGCAATGTATCGCGATCTATCGGTCCTATCACCGGTTCTGCTGTCGAATATATGAGTTGCAAAAGTGCTTTTTTGAGTTCGACAGTTGAAGCTTCATCTCCATAGTAATGCTTGAAAAGTCCACTCGGGGAAAATGGTTTTACTTTGTTCGGATCGAAAGTTTCATTTCCCCGCGGGTGGTCAGCATAAAATGATATTGCCGCAGCTGTGACTGCATTTGTTATAACATCATTCAATGGAGTACAGGTTGGATTTATCTTCTGCCAAAGCGAGTCATATTTTCCGCCAAGCCTAATGGCTTCCAGAGAAATAACCGCTGCGCAAATACTAATCACCACAAAGACAAATTTCATGATCAGTCTAAACAAAGAAATGGAACATGTATGAAATTCGTATGAATTTTAATGGCGCTTCCAATGAAATTGACTCAGAACGATGACTTAGTTTATTAGTTGCAAACATTCACTATTGCTATAGGTAATATGTGCAGTATTCCGTCAAAAAATTAATATGACACAAGAAATATCTCAAACTTCCAATTGAATATTTATTCGTAGGAACTTATTCAGAAAATTAAAGTATAATGCATGAAACGAGATATAAACGAAACCACCTCAGTTGAAACTCCCTAATTTGAGAATAAATTGTCCGAAAATGATAAGTCAGAAAGAGTATGATCTACTATTTTGTAGGTTTGATCTATTTATGGTCGTCGGTTCCAAGAGAAAAAAAATAATTTTGACAAATCTTACGATACGGCGGTGAAAAACGCACTTTGCACCGACATTGAAAGATAAATAGCCAAAAAAAGCTCACTCGAGAAAAGCGATTACGTAAGATTAAGCTAATATTCCAATAATATTCTTCTAATAGTAAAAACTAGTTTATTCGAGAAATTTTATTTTATATTGACTGAAAATCATCAATTTGGCAAGGTAAAAATACGAGAAAAATATAAATAAAACGAAAATTTAACAGGAATATGAACGCAAAAACCAGTAGTTACAAACAGGAGAAGAAATTTCCAGAGAATCACAATGTTTTATAGTTCCATGGTGAACATTGAGTGTTATCAGAAGGCTATTTTAAGCTTATAAAATAAGTAAAAATACCGACGGCTCCTGCACGAGAAAAAAAATTGAATTATATTATCCATGATTTCTAATTTTACAAAAATTCAATTGAAATTTAGGTCTCGCTACAGTTCCCATACTATTTACAACTTTTCGCCACCGCGATAAAACAACCTACAAATAAACGAAGAACCGCGGTCGTTCGAATCCTATCGACATTGGTTTCTGCAAACTGACATGTCGGAAACGTTAACGAAGTATTCTAACAGCGACCGCGCAGCAAACCCGCTTGTGGTCACGCTTGACTGCGAAGTTTCTACTCGAGCGCTTAAGCGATAACAATTCTTTCTTCTCGGATCTCCGGTATACACGTTATTATTTAAGTACAACCATGTTACTATCATACAATATCGACCAGAACCAACTTTAAACCTTTCGAGTGACCCCGTTTCTGTTTCCCGTTTTTCTGTTCCGTAATTTTTGTTTTGTTCCTGACTAGATGAAGTTCAATCGTTTGGTGTGGCGAATAGCCTATATACCTGGGGTTTGTTAGCTCGTTGTGGGGTTGATGTACATATTTTCTTGGGAATTTTGTTTTCACCTTTTTTTCGGTAAACTAATATACGATTTGAAAAATGGAAAATTAAACGAATTTCGGTGTTCATACTTCAAGATCTGCATGAGCGTATTTTCTATTGCAGTTTTACTTAAAACAGTCTGGCCAAATAGGCCTGCGAATTTTGTTTGTACAATGCAGTACAAAACCATAAAAGACCATTAACAATATAGAATGCTTGAAATATATATGATTCGATTTTGATTGATATTAAACTTGCTGTAAAATCTCCATAATAGGCTTCATCTACGAAATCCTTCTGAAGTTTCATATACCAGAAATATACTTTATTACCAAAATTATCCATTAAAAGTACCGCACACATTGTCGATGATAACAAATGAGTTAAAATGAGACGAATGTATTTTCTTTGAATAGAATTCGTAATGTAACAATGGCTGAAGTTGCATACTTCACTGGCATTCATGCCTAAAGGATATTGTTTTTCTCAACCTCCATGGCAGAAACCATACATATAAACATGACTGGCGATAACTGCTATGAGAAATCCTTTTGCGTATACAGTAGGGGTGGCCAACACGTCGATCGCCACGTCTCGAGTAGTCGATCGCGTCGGAAGTTGGGTGAATTTAATAACATACCCCAAAAAATTTCCTTAAACCAGTGTTGTGTGTTTTAAAACGGGAAGAATATAGTAGCCTACGCCCTACAGTAGGCCTACATGCGCAAAATACGATATACCAACTGTAGGCGAACCGCGGCTCGCCGGAGTTTTTATGCGGCTCTTCTCGCTAGCAATATATATATATATATTATTCAATTTACCTGTGATAAACTTTTGTATAACAGTTTTTTTTAATTTATTAGGCGGTTGAAGAAGTTTTCATTAATGATTAAGACAATTAAGTCTTAGTATGAAAATCGTAGCGTGGAATTTAATTTAAATCAGTCAAATGACAAATCTTACATCCCAATGATCAAATGTTTCGTCACGCTAATAACCGAATTGCGTAAGTCATTTTTGGCGATTTTGAGTTTTTTATAAAATAGGTATTTATGTAATGCTGCGCACCTGTCGGTTAACATTTGTGCAATTGTTTCGTCATAATGAATTATCAATGTTGCCGCGGGACTATTGTGACGTCACAAAGGCAAAATAACCTCGGCGAAATGTTTTCGAGTTTTTGCATCGCGGATTCTAGCTTAGCGCGTATTAATTTGAATCTATACTACAGTATAGGAAGACGTGCACTTGTGATATTAACTGTCCGAGTCCAATTCACCTTGGTTGGCTTTTATATTGGGTGCATTGCTGTTTTATTCTTTATATTTAATCTTAGTCCTATTTCGGTGGGTGTGCAGAACGTGTTATATTGATGAAATATATATTTTTAAACATAAAAAAATAATGTAATTGAAACTGATTAGCTATTTTTGGGATTATACATTGCAGATACTGAGAATTACATTCGTTTTTGGAATGTTTAGTTTTCAGGACTGGTGCATATAGTAAAGTTGCAAAATTGCGTATGTCCCTAAGTCATAGACACATTTTTGCCTAAGTCACAGTGCGCCATTATGACGTCACTTAACTGCGTCATACAAATTAAATTAAATCCGGCTACGATCAAAAAATTAAACCATGGTAAATTATTGACTCTCAATGGCATAACAATATCATTAGGAAGTTTTTTACGTTTTTCTCAAAACTGCTAAAAATGACTTACGCAATTCGGTTATTAGCGTGACGGTTTGTTGTTGCGTTGGCGGTTTCAACTACTTCTGATATGGCCTCGCAACATATATTTTGCAATATTGGTAATATATGTTGGTGTAAAGTTCTATTCAGTTCACGGCATTCTAATATTATTAATTTCAAAAATTATGCGGCTCTCACATATTTCTGACTTGCTGCATGCGGCTCTTATACTAAAAAATTTTGCCTACCCCTGCGATATACACATACAGTATTTGAGTCTGGGAAAGCCCGATAGAGGATATTATTACGTAACAAATGCAAGTTTCGCCACTGCCAAGGTTTAAAAATGAACTTGCCGAATATCGCGTGAATTGACTGACAAACGACCCTACAGTAATTTCTGGTTATTGTCTCCAAGAGTAGTATGACAAATTTTATTCGCAATGGTAGCAGTGGCATCAGGAATGCCAAACTTTTTTCTAATTCCAAGCGAGCGTAGACTCGCGCTCGGAGGAAATTATAAATTAGACTCTGAACTTTGAGCAGTCATGCAACATTTATGGATTGAGAATATTTATTTTTCGCATTTAGGTAATAAATACATGGATACTTAGCAGGTTTTTTTGAGAAATTTTCAACACTTACGAGCAGAAATTAGGCACGCCTTATATCTGAATTGTAGGATTTGAATAAATCCTAAATAAATAATGAAACATTTACTACGGGTACATTTAAATAATCAAATTACCAACTTAAATGGAACATGAAAAATACAAATTTTGTGTCGATTTCAGGGATTGCTCACAAAGCCGAGATTATCGGCAGCGGCCTTACCACTTCCAAACAAACTACTTGAGCATGATTAGAATTTGCAATTGAATAAAAACTTCTTCCCGATTGTGAAAAAAGGGAGTAGCTCAACTATGAACACGAAAGCCAAATGACGACTACGATATAAAAAAGTAATTAGGAATTGTAAAAAAGGGCAAAATTTCGGGAGAAATGTTGGACCTGGGCGATTGAAAGAAAAAACATCTATGAAAAAAAAATTAAGTATTGGTTGTTGAAAATAGGTTAGCCCAGTGTTTCCCAAACTTTTTTCTGCCAGCGCCCTCTTGGACGACTTTTCAACTAGCAAACGCCCCCCTGACAAAAAAAAGTCAAAGCAACTTTGTTCTCCCTTTATTATTAGTATCATGTGAAGGTTTAGCCCAGTAAAATGCCACAAGCTTGATAATATCTGGCTTCATTTCAGTCAAAAACAGTCTTGAGTTTCGTCTGACACTGCCGAGAGAATCTCTGTTGATATATATGTAAAAGCTGCTGTAATACTGTTTTTAATATAAATCAGTTAAATATGCTGCTTAAGTCACTGTATTCGATTGTTTGAACTTACGCAACACAAATGATAAACCGACATTAAACAATGTCAGACACAGCCAGTGATGAGCTGGAAAAATCTTAACAACCGGAACGCACCTAATTCGCAAGAATATAATATATTTACAACACCACACGCACGTTTACAGAAATTTTTGTCTGTCCTAAGATGGAAGCGAAAAACTGCAATGAAATATAAAGAATTTATCTGAAATATGTCTCTGTAGAACAGTGGTTCCCAACCAGGGTGCCGCGAGGAGATTTTATTTTTTCCCAAATTTGACCATGGAATTATTATTTGACTAGTAGAATTGTCATTATTGCCTATTTATTTAAATTATTATGCAAACTCAAAATGACATTCAGGATTCGCGCAATGACTTTGCAGGGTTTTTATTCACCATTTAATACGAAAATAAAACAATACAAATAAAACAAAATTTCATAAACCTGACATCGGGCATCTTATCAAAGCTACATAGGCATTTGAACGCCTCAATATAGACTTCAAAATACCTCTTGAAGGGCGTCATGCGAGTGCTGCTGCGTCATTTTTTTGCTTCAGTAATTTTTTGTGTCTTTCAGTTTGTGATACTTTCGAATTATTGAATTAGTTTATTTTTGGTCATTTCCTTCTGA